CCTGTAGTTGAGACGATGCTGCCCAAATAGGTGAAAGAGACTACTTCATTTAAGTTTCTCCCATTCATCGTGATTGGAGCTTGTTGTTGTTGTTCTTGGTGGTGGTGATGGTGGTGGTGGTGGTGTTGGTGTTATTGTTGGTTGGGTATCTTCATCATGACTGTCTTCTCTACATTCACTTGAATTCGTGTCTTCACTGCCTCGCATCACCTCGCCTCACCTCGCCTCGCCTCGCCTCTTCTGTCAACTTGTTAGTTTTCACCTGTACATCTTCCAGTTTGTGTGACAAGACACTAGACACAAGTCATCACTGGCGAAATCCAAATCTTCTAGGATCTTTTCATCGGTCCAGCCAGCATATACCCCTCTTCTCACTCCTCACGCTTTGCTGAATGATCCAGTCGAGTCGACCACAATCAGGAATATCATGGTTGATAGTAGACAGCTTTGTCTTACTTGTCAACCTGTCTTCACTTCACTTCACTCCACATCACTTCAATTCAATTCAATTCAATGCAGTGGCATGACTGAGCTCCCCATTGTGAATTACTTGGCATGTGACGTCTTCATATAGTTGTTCAATGAGATTGATAAACGTTGTTGTCACTAAAACCGTAGTGTGGAAGCACTTGACAAAATCTTTCTCGGTCAACGCTGTCAAAGGCCTTCTCAAAGTCGATGAAGTTGAGGTAGAGGTACAGTTGACTGTCATTCTTTATTCTGCTCCATGATGGTGCGTAGCATAGCGTTGCAATTTGGTCCACACATGATTTGTACTTCCTCAAGCCAACCAACCTGTTCCGGTCGTAGTTTTGGATGCAGCACATCATTTAGTCTCTCCAGGATGATGCGGCTTAATATTTTGCTTGCTTTTCGGTGGACAGGAGCATGATTCCGCACCAGTTCGTGCAAACACTGAGGTCACCCTTCTTTGTGAGTTTGACAAGATTGCCCTTCTTCTTCCAATTGGCAGGCATCTTTCCCTCTTTCCTTCCAGACCTTCGGCAATAGTAGTGTGAGCGTGTCCGCTGTTGTTCTTGTGTCTGTTTTCAGTGCTTCTGATGGGATTCCATCTGGTCCTGCTGCTTTCGCGTATTTCAGTAGGTTTATGGCGTTCAGGACTTGGACTATTGTTGGAGGATTTGTGTTGAGTGGTAGTTGTGTGCCTGGTCTGCAGATGGTATTTCTGAACGAGTTGAAGGTGGTGGTTATGGTGGTGGTGGTTGATTGAAGAATTTTTTTAAGTGGACAGCCCATCGTTTTTTTCTTTTCTTCGTCAATTACATTTCCTTCATCATCTTTTATTGTTTTTATCTGTGCTATGTTGATCCCACCCTTGCCAGATATTAACCTGGTTATTTGATACAATGTTGTCAGATCTCTCCCACCTGCAGCTTGTTCTTTTTCACTTTCCAGTGTATCGTAGAATTGTCTTCTGTCTTTGCCTGCACTCTCCTTCACTTCTTTATCCAGTGTAGTGTCTTACACATTATTTATATCCCTCTTCTCGTCGTTCATCTTCACTTCACCATCTTCCTGTACTCTATCAGCTTCCATGTGTCCATCGAGATCCATTCCTTGTCTTCTTTCTTCTTCCTTCCTAATACGGCTGTGCAGGTTTCTTTCCATATAGCTTTCAAAGACTTACAATGTTCTTCCACATAGGTTTCTTCAGGGATGCTCCTCGAAATCTCCCATTTTGTCTTGATGGCTGACGTGAAGATTTTCTTTGTAGTTTCATCCTTCAGTTTCTGTTCTGAGTGTTGAACTTGACCTATGGTCTATCACCAACTTCTTTGAAAGCCTTCAACTTTATTTTGAAGGTTCCTTGCACTAGATAGTGGTCTGAACCTACATTTGCTCCCCTTTTTGATCTTATGTCAAGTAAGCTCCGTCTCCAATTTCTTCATATTTAGATGAAGTTGATCTGATTTTTAGTGTGTCCATCTGGTGAAGTCGAATCCATGTCGCTTTGTGAATATCCTTGTGCTTGTACGCACTGCCTTACTCCAATCATCAAATCGTTGAATGCACGGAATTCTGCAAACAATTCTCCATTCTCGTTCATCACCTCACCGAGCGCTTCTCGACCCATGGTTAGTTCTCTTCCTGTGTTTTCCCCTCCCAGTTTGGCATTCATGTCACCCATTACAATTTCGATGTTGTCGACTGAGGTCTTGTCCAGTGTTGATTGCAGTTGTCTGTAGAATTCCTCCTTTTTCTCTTACTCTGCATTATTTGTAGGTGCGTAGTGTAACATTGTATGATTGTGACCTTCCTTCCTTTTGAGCTGAACCTTGCTGTCGTGATCCTGCAGGAGAAGATTAGTTCCCACTGTATGAGAGACTTCGATGCTGTTAGGGACATCATGATAGCCACTCCAAAACTCAGTGTGCTCAATGTTGTCGTCTGGGTGACAATATTGGAGTAGATTATTGATTCTCTAGTTAACAGTTTCGAGAGTCCACTTGCATTCCACCTGCTTTCGCAGATTCCTAGCACTTCTATCCCATACTTTCTCATCCTCTTTGGAATCTGGGCAGCCTTTCTAGGTTCATACACGGTGCGGATATTCTATGTCCCCATTTTTACTTTCACTTCCATTGAGAGAAGACATATCGGCCAATTGGCTTCCCGAAGACTTTCACCAACCAGCGTCATTTCGTCTCTCCGATTCCAGTGAGGAATAATTTTGTCTTTATTTTTTATATTTTGTTTATGCTTTGAAGTTTCTTTAGCGGTTAGATTTGTTTTACGGGGTAGGGTTGCTAGCCGTATGCCCAACCTTCCCTTTTTACCCAGGCTTAGGACCAGCTAGTAACTAGTGTACTAGTTAATCAGGCGAGGTTTGTCTATTTTAATATCATTCTTTATTTCTTTGGGTCCTGTATAGTAGTGTAACAACTTGTAGTGATGTGTTTATGTGTGCAACCTTATGTCTAAATTTATGCGTGTATATATACATCAGTATAACTTATTTAGTGGTCGTCTGCAATGAAATGCTGAAAATATGTTCCGTATATTCAGTCTCACAAGTGTACTGGAACCTTTGACCAATGGACACTATATCAACTTCATGAAACATTATCTAACGATTTCCTCCATTCGCATAAATCATATCTATTAGTATATATTTTATACACAACTAAAGGAGAAAATTTGGTGAGACTGATCGAGATCTTGTTTGTTGGAGATAACATAGTATACAAAATGATCCTTTCCCTTTTCTTTTTCAAGTTTGTTAGTTGAATTGTCATCCAGGAGCACGTCTAGACAGTTAGATATTGAGAATAAAGTTTTACTCACCCTACTAGTGTCAATATAGATTATCTTCTCTTCATAATTAATAAATAACTAAACTTTCTTCATAATGTATTATAAAACGTTGAAAGTTCATTCATAATTTTCAAGACTGCCTTTTTTTCTTTTCTGATATTTCATTCACCCTTTTATTTTGTTTTCTGCTTAAAGATGGTCAGTCATCTGTTAATTATTTATTCTAAAGTTCATGTCTACATAAAAATCAATATACCCATGATAACGCCTCAAAGAGAACCAAATGGTTAGCAATGAAAATCTATATGATGTGAGAGCTTACATAACAGCTTGACTGTCATGATATACGCGGCTGATCACATCAATTCAAGTATGATCTGTTAGAGATTAGCCATGTATATTACCAGATTAACTGACCTGACTAAAAACTCTATTATCCAAATTTATTGGGAACAAAGCAGAAAATGTCTAACGGTGTTTTCATTTAAAGTTCACAGTCACTAATTCAGTGTGTTCAATACCGTTTTAATGGCTAACACCGGTGAATATGAACCATCAGATTCTCACATACTCATCTTATCAATGATAACACGTCAATCGAAATCTCAGGAGTATTTTTGATCTTTACCAGAGTCTGAATGTATCATACTATGGTATACAGATTAGACCATCTGAATAACGAATCATGTTGTCTATGAGATACTAAAAATACCGTCATCATCATCATCATTATCAACATAGGACCAGGCATTACTGCGTAACGGTCCAACTTGCCACACCTCATATCAGCACATCAAGTAAAAAGGTAGTGAGGTGAAGGATGAAGATAAGTGAATGCAGTCAAAAGAAATATAAAGTACGAGAAGAAAGGAAAGAGGAGTGACAAAATAGTGAGATTCGGTATATCGTTGTTAAGATGAGGATAATGTGTGTATACATCTGCGCCACTGACTTCGGTTCTGAGCCATATCACCTAGGGTCTCCAACCACTGGTTCCTCTTGTCCCGTGGACCCCAACCACCTAGTCTGCATCGTCCTACATGGCTTAAACCAACAGTCAGAGACTTCATACATTGGTGCCATGTTTTAGTCTGGCCACCTCGGGCCTTTTTCCAGCCTGAACCCACCTCAGCCAACATTGTGTGAAGAGGCAATCGGTGACTAGGCATACGTAGTACGTGTCCCAACCATCTCAGTCGATGAAGGTTCACAACCTCGTCGACTGACTTACCTCTTCTCCCAAAACTCTACACCTAACTTCTGCATTACTCACATGGTGACACCACGGAATACGTCCTATACCGAGTGAAAACAATATTCCTTGGTTATATTGTGTTCTCGGAGTTAGGTTGTTTAGTCATGGGTTTTCATTGTCTTTCGAGATGACATTTTCAGCACTAACTTCAGTTTGAAGTGAGCTGTCAGTATCTCTCCACCAGTGATTTAGTAGCTTTTCCCATACATTTTTCTAACCCAAATACAGTCATACACTGTGTATGCTAACCATCTACTCATGTCTTCTCTCTGAGTCACTTCATACGGAAGTTGGTGGTGATGATGTCGTCTAGAAAGACGATGAATGCTCCACCAGTAAACAACCTAGGTCAAAGAACATAATACAATGAAGACCATCCACCTGAGCTGCAAATGTTCTCCACCATTTCAAAAGAGTACTAGTATTTTCATACACACTAAACAACAAATTGAAAAAAAAATTTAATTACCTCAGGATCTAGCATAGCAATTTCTGCGCCTTTACTTAATATGTAACAAGATCCATCAGGATATCGCAGCAGAATGCTCATTCGTTTTCTTATTGAATCAAATTCAAGCACAGCATCGATAATGAAACACTTTCGTTCAAGGTATTGAGAATCATCCTCTTTCTGTGTATCAGATGATGGACAAGACCAATAATCAACATACGCTCTGCTCGACCCAACTTCATTTAAATCAGGCTGTTTACCAGCGAATACAACACCAAGTCTAGATGCTGCTTCAACGAGTGCTTTCTCATCAGGTGATGTTGCCTTAACATGAAAATAATAGAAAATTATCACAAAAATAAATGTGAATATCATACTGTATGATTTGGAATTGATTATCGAAAAGAGATTAACTACACTGATTCATGTGAATACTAATCTTAAATAACACTACGTTACCTTTTGTCCTGAAGTATGCAAATGTTAGAAAACAAAAAAGATTGAATCGAAGGATACCTAAATGATCACCTAAGAACATTAACAGCAAACTATTGTTTATATACGAAACATTTGATTTATGCTATTTTCAACTATCTGCATAATTAGATGGATGAATAAGTAGTACTGGATAAAATGGGTAATTAGAAACTATTCCCTGGTGACTGCACCAGGAGCTACTGTCCAACACTGAAAGCGGTGAGGCTTGTATTATTTTACCTGCCTAACGGATAGAGTTTCAGAATCAGTCGTTGACTGACTCCTCAACCTGGTCAATTGTCTGCGAACCACCCCAGCAGGAAGAGCTCAAACGATTTGGTACCACCGTTTAACCAGGGTGGGAAGAGGGCTGATATTAATAGAATGAGATACGGCAAACCTTAATGAGACAACTCAGGCAACGGATTCAATGATATCCCTGCTAAGAAGGTAGAAGTGGATCAAGGAGACTTTGAGGCCTTCTTCGTTAGTAGAAGTTTATGGCCTAATCAGAAGCTGTTCTCATTGTCAGCAACGCTTAGTCGATCAGGAAAACTGGATAAGATCCAGAAAACAGAATTAATATATCCATAGAAAAAAATTAATCAATCGTCTAATTTTGGACAAACTCGTTCATAACTGAATAACAGTTTGAAATTGACTATATTTTCTAAGGCTCACTGGTTTAGACATTTGATTCCCATCAGATACGTCACGGATTCAAATGCAGCACTACCAACCAGATAGCCAGATAGCATAATTAGGCTTCATAGGATTTATTGTTATTATCATTTGTCCCTTGAGTTCCTAATGGAATATACGGATTCAGTAGCACGTCTCCATTCCACTATCTTCTCTGCAAACTTTTCAACCTGGCTCCAACACTGCCCACAACCTCTCATTTCATCCACATTTCATTCACACCAACTCATCCATGTCAGCCTCAGCTGGGACGCCCAACTCATCGCTTCCCATCTGGATTCCACTCGAGTGCATGGCCTGGCACGTGATGTCCCCGAATGGTCTTCTCAGTGCACGCCAAATCTATCTCCACTTAATTTCGATGCATATTCACTGAGTTATAGGTTCTTGCTTCGTTGGTTCGTTGACAGCCAGCCAGAGTTCCTCCCTGCTTATTCTTTCTGGTAATCAGAGCTTCAGTAACGAGCCAGTGTAGGCAGTTGTTGATGAATGTCTGTAGTTTGTTGGAAATCCCTTTCATAACACTCCAAGTCTCTCAAACATCACATGGAAGCACTGACTTGACTGGCATTAGTGTTGAAAATCAGGATGTTGTTCACGCCTTGTCCTGAGTGCAGTGCAGTAGATCTCCACACTCGTTTCAGGTTCATGAACCCCTTTCTTGCTCTCCTTCCGATCCTGACTGGCTTTGCCATCCTCGTCTGTGCCTGTGTCGCCTGTAGTTGAGACGATGCTGCCCAAATAGGTGAAAGAGACTACTTCATTTAAGTTTCTCCCATTCATCGTGATTGGAGTTTGTTGTTGTTCTTGGTGTTGGTGTTGGTGTTGGTTGGGTATCTTCATCATGACTGTTATCTCTACATTCACTTGAATTCGTGTCTTCACTGACTCGCCTCACCTCACCTCGCCTCGCCTCGTCTCTTCTGTCAACTTGTTAGTTTTCACCTGTACATCTTCCAGTTTGTGTGACAAGACACTAGACACAAGTCATCACTGGTGAAATCCAAATCTTCTAGGATCTTTTCATCGTTCCAGCCAGCATATACCCCTCTTCTGGCTGCTCACGCTTTCCTGCATGATCCAGTCCACTAAAATCAGAAATATCTTCATATAATAGGTGTTGCTTATTGCCTATTGCATAAATATGCACAAGAATGCTGAGTTGATTTCAATTCTATTACTTTGAAATGACTATAACCTAGTGAACTTCTCATCATTTTCCAGTCAGCCGATTTTTTTTCATCATCACGTAAGCTTTATTTCATTTCTTTCTCTCACTCCCTAAACGACTCACTAATTGTTGTGTAACCATTAACTGTACGACACTAGGGGGAAATTTAAAAGTCACCCTAACAGCCATTGAAATGTTTATAGTATTCTCTATGTCATGAGAAAACTACCTTTTCAGAGGAAATGGGGAAAAAATAGAATATTTCAGCGATTATTTAAGTGAACTTTAAAGTAACTCGATCACTCGTGTTTCTGCATAACTACTTTAAAGGTAACCCTAATAACGACTGTAATAACCAATCAGGTTTATTTCGACTGAACAGGTAACTTTTACATGAGGTAACAAACACTAATTGGCTACATTAATGGTTGTTAAGTTGCCTGTTAGAGTCACTTCGCTAGTTAAGGGTACAAAAAACCGCAGTAATCAAATATAGGGGTAACTTTGTTGGACAGTCGTACCAACTGCTAAGATAAGAAATAAAAGTTATGGATTTTGTAAACAAAAACTATCTTTTGATCTGAAAGAATAAGACATAATTGTTGATTTTAGTTGTTACTAGAGTAGCCTCTGACATCACCTAGCCAATTCACAAGTGGTCAATTGACTTTAAAAGCCATTGTACCGGTGAAAAATACAGCCAATTATATTGTTTTATTTTGGGTGTGAAAGCGAAATTTCATAAAATGAAGAAGTATAACTGGTAACTTCACTCGTTGCTAAGGTGATCCTTAGAATCAATCCTAGTGAACCCTAGTAATCACAGAGATAAAGGATCAGATTTCTCTATTTTGACTAGAATAGTAGGATTTTCATGAAATAGAAAAACCTAACTGGCTATTTCATTAGTTGTTAGATTGGACTTTAGAGTCACTTCAAATATAGATAAAGCAAAATAAGTATAGGAGCATATCATTGATAAAAAAACAAGACTAATCAGTTATTGAAGATAGCTAAATCAAGATTAGTAGACCCTAATGAGATAAGAAATCTAGCTTTGCATGCAATGACACACAATCAAACAGTAGGGTGGGATAGGGCGACAGTGTTGAAAACTAACTTAGTTGGTAGGGAGGGAGGGAGAGCTTGTGAATCCTCCCACCCCATTTCAGTTAAAGTAAGCCTAAGTAAACGCTTAAGTGATAAAGCGAAAAAGCTTACTAAAAGATCGGAAAGTCTGCGACAAGAAATTAGATACATCAAGAATACCCTACGTCTCAATAATTACCCACCAGAATTTATGAATAGATTCACAAGAAATCGAAAGAAAAATATCAGCAGTGGTAGTAGTAGTAGTAGTGTGTGTGTAGTAGTAGTAGCAGTGTGAGTAGTAGTAGTAGCGTTAGTAGTAGTAGTAGTAGTAGTAGTAGTAGTAGTAGTAGTAGTAGTAGTAGTAGTAGTAGTAGTAGTAGTAATACATATGTTAGTAATAATAGTTCTACTACTAATAGTAATAATGGTGACAGGGTTAAGAGAGAATTCAAAGCCTCTGCCGTGTTACCATACAAGGGAGGCACTTCAGAAGCATTACGAATAAGTCTCAGTAAGGCTGACTGGGATTAAGGTGGCATTCAAACCAACAAACTCGCTTAGAAACAAGCTTTATAGGTTAAAAGATCATATCGATGCAATTAAGCAAAGTAATCTGGCTTACCAGATCCCTTGCAATGATTGCGAGGTCAAGTACATAGGTCATAGCAGTCGACTATCCAGGGTCGACTACAATAACAGAGCACAAAGACTTAGGTCAATCAAGATTAGTAGATCCCAATAAGATAAGAAATCTAGAGAAAAACTCGGCTATAGCTTTGCATGCAATGACACAGAATCACACTGTAGGGTGGGATAGGTCGACAGTGTTGAAAACTAATTTAGTTGGATAGAGGGAGAGATTGATAACCGACTGAATCTTTGTTTATCGAATCAACACCAAATACATGCAGCAATCGAAATGATGCTGCACCTGTCCCACATATATGGAAAATTCTACTACCTTTGTTGTGGGTGCGCACTGCTGAGGAGTCCCATACTAGGACGAAACAGCTGTCCAGTGCTCGTAGGTTTCCTTTGTTCCTCCGACTGATGTCAGTCTTCGATGAATAACAACTTGAAATATTTCCAAATCTCCGCAACCCCCTCAAAATTTAATTGAGCTAGTGCTCGTTGGTGACTAGCTTCGAGAAGTATTCCCGAAGTTCCAATGACAAGTCGTGACCGGTGGAGTCAAAGCCTGATGGCCGTGAGGACAAATACTCAACGATGACATTAGGTGGCGGTTCGCGCTATATCGTGAGCTAACAGAAGTTGGAAATATGGAGCATTGGATTCTGACCCAGTGGCTCAATGGTAACGCGCTGGTCGCGGAACCTGAAGGTCGCGGGTTCGATCCCTGCTGGTGGGGTCGTGGGTGCGCACTGCTGAGGAGTCTCATACTAGGACGAAACAGCTGTCCAGTGCTCCCAGGTTTCCTTTGTTCCTCCAACTGATGTCAGTCTTCGATGAATAACAACTTGGAATATATAAAGACTGTCTTGAAGTTGTGGAGTTAGTTACCTGATATGAATATGGACAATAAATGTGTGTCTGAAAAGTACGTTATCTAGTAAAATGCTACTGTTTCCTTTTGTGATATTTCTATTCAAAGAAAAGACTAAAATGGAATTACAATCGACCGCAGTGGTCAAGTTTTACTCTTATATTGTTGAAGATATAATTTCATTCTAAAGGTCATTCATGCTGTGAAATATTCATTTTTTAAATACTATGCAGCTAGATGATATTAACTTTTCATTTTGTATCAACAAACAAAACAGGTGAAATCTGATTTTCTTGATGACCAAGTGAATTTTAACGTTTATTCAAGGCGGTTGTTTATGTTAGATGATACATGTAAGGAGAAACCAGTTTATCCAGACTTGGTAATAATAATAATAATAATAATAATGGTCACTTCATTCCAGGCAATAACTTTTAGTACAGTTTGGGATTCTGATTGTCGGGTCGAAAAACTTACGTAAGTTTGGTGATAGAGGTTCATTCATCCAACATAAAAGTTTACTATTTTAACCATGTGTTCTTGTAATAGCTATATGAAGCACTGTTGTGCATCTAGATCGCAAATACTGTCTTTTGAGATATTTTCTAGTAGTCTTGTTGTCAACCTGTTTAACGACAGGTTAAGGACATTTTAAGAGTGTATGAGAGAATATTTTTTTTTACAATTTGTTGACATTTTATTAGTTAAACTAAGTAGAAAAAAAGGAGCATTTCGAAAAAATATTTTTTGTAGCCCAAAATATAACCAGGCCACCAGGATTGATGCTCTTCATTGTGATAATACATATCTAGAAAGTGATATTCCCCTGTATGCTTAACACATATCACCAAGGGATATAAGACACAGATCAGTGATGTTTTACGGTGCCTTATAGCTGTAGAAACACTTGGCAGAGTAGTATACACTGCAAAATCGTATGAAAAGAAGCCTGAACATCAAAACGTCCTAGGCATCAATCAATAAGTTTTCACAATAAAACATTTTTTTCAACTTCCATAATTTCCTCCCAATAAACTACAATAATTGACTTATCAGGGTGATTCCATTAATACAGGAGTAAAATTTAGGCTCTGTGGTCAATTATAATTTCATTCTAGTCTGTTTATTAGAAATGTCATATAGTGAAGGAACAATATCACTTACTGGATAACGTTTCGGACACAATCTATGGTCCATATTCATATCAGGTGATATGAATTTTCTTATTTTCATTATTTAACTGTGCTATTTCAAAATTATTTAATTGAACTTTTCTTTTCATGATTGATTTATAATTTCTGTGATGAAAGGGATTAATTGTAAAGCAGCTAACCTCAAAAAGCCATTTCAACTGAAGTTTATACTACTGACGAAGTTTTAGCTTACACATTGAAACGTTTTGATTTTCTAAACACTGTGGGATCATATTAAAATTCTTATAGTAAGGTAGTTTGGCTATGGAATTCAGTGTGAAAAGATTTTGAAAGATGAACACTCTTAGTAAACAATCATTGTACATTCAATGTTGTACTATCGTAAAATATATCACCTTGAATTGATTAATCGCTGTGTAAAACTCTACATTGACTGATTCAATATCTGTTTACTTCTAATTCTCTATTTGGGTTAAAAAAAAATTTCGACGGTGATTTCAACAAGACATTGAACACTATATGAATCCCTGAATAAATGGTTATGTGCGAAGCTGATTTCATGTTACATTTATACATTTCGCTTTAAGAAATAAGTAAACTAGTATTTCTTCAAAGTGTTCAATGAAGAAATTGTGAACATTTAACAATCAAGATCGTCCCACCAGATAATGAAAATTTAACGAAAAATAATTCAGAGAAGAAAATTTCTTGTTTCGACAAATCATTTTCTAAAGCTGTACAATAGTAATCATGCTAACAACAAATTACATATCCATCAATACCTAATGGGTCAAATAAAATCAATAAATTAACAAAGTGATAACAGCGAGAAGGTCAACTCAAGGTCATCGGAAACTGTTTATCAGATTACAATAAATAAACAAAAAAATGAGTCGAACTTTTTAGGAAGAAAAGATTGAGTGTGTTACTTTTGAAGGTAAAGATCAGACTTGCAACGGTGAATTGTTAAAGCTTTTGCTATGTATGGGAGACGAATACGTTCGTACTCCCTTTGAATTTCTCGATCTCACTACTGTTATTAAATGACTTTGAAAGAAAACTCGCATGGGCCAAAATGACCAGATTTAACCAAACGCTCAAGAAACGAGCTGTTGATAGGTTTACTCTGTTCTTTGGGCAGCCATATAGAAGATGTGTTTGGATGGAACGTGCTTCGCACAGCCTGTGTTACCAGCTCCACAAAAGGTAGTGGATTGGTAAACACACATGGACACACATGTAGACAACTATGCTGACGACCGTTTCATGCGCTCTTTCAATTACTTTGATCCGGCTGACGAAACACTACAGATCAGTCTGAGTGGTTTCTTACTGCTGAATTTGTACAGTAGTAGCATCTTTCGCTATTTCATGATACTGTTATGTCTGAGGTCACACTTTATGATCTTGATAGAGTGGTTTCCAACCAAAGGCCTGATTAAACCACAGTTGGATGGCAGTTGAAAAACTAGTCATCTGTGAAAATTGTCAATGTGGACTGCACAGTATGTAAATCATTTACAAACCGATTGATGTCAACTTGAGGGCTATTGAAAAGCCGAAAACATGGAATAGCTGTGTCGCTGAACCTTAGTTTTCCTCAGCAGACAATAGCGAAAATAATGAGAATTATCCAGCCTAGAACCATTTGATCCCTTGGCAGTTGGAATTCAACTGTATCCATTTCCTCTGATTTCATCAATTTGTGATACCGCACTACTACTATCAAATATTATCGTGCATATTTGTCCCCCGCTAGACGTAGTTAACCCTACAGTTTACGGGTTTTCATTCAAAGTTGGGGAGAAACTGGCATACTTGAGGATATGTGGAGTAATAGATTCCCCCTCGACCGTTACATGGTGACATGTTCGCGTTCAAACCTGATTGTCCATTCCTCGAGCACTCGTAGAGTCGTGGGTGTACATCATTGAAGATACCAACACTAAAATGAAACGGTCGTTAGCATAGTTGTCTATATATGTCAGAGCCATTACTTAGTTTGGAAATATCTTAATTATGTTGGTGCATTCATTAGTCAATCTAGTGATTGTTTCCACCTAAGTTTAGGGATGCAACTAGCAGGATAAGAAATAACCCGCAGTTGGATTTCTGTTATTCAGTGTTCTTATGTTACTAAGATACCGTATTTTGTCAGAAAAAAAAGATTTTATCGTGAGATCTCCTTTCAAGTATCGCTTGATGACGGCATGCCTTGAAATGTCCCTATAGTTAGGAGTGAACTATCAACAGTGTAATCACCGATGGAAAAGATGTTTCACATGATAGGATGATCAACTACATAGACGTCTCCAACCCATTTTGATTCACGACAGCTTTTTGTTCACAATACTTGAAGTCATTTTACTTCTATATTTTGAATTGGTGTTTTTTTAAGCAAGTCCTCATCCGATCCAACATACCAGTTATCATGTGAGCCGATTATTTTAGCTTTACTTTGTTATAAATAGGTTGGTTATTCTCATAAAACAAGATATCAGTTTCCAAAACATGTCAACGATTTCTGTCAAAAACGATGCTTAAATGAGTAGTTGATTGATTGACTGTTTTGTTTACTTGCCTGCCTGGATGAAAGACTGTTGAGAATAATCAGCTGATTATTTTATCACGGAATATCATACGATTATGAATCGATTAAACTTCTTACAGTCATCTCAACGTTATACTGAGATTATGCCAAAAGCTAAAGGAACTAGAAATATATATATAATATAGGAATGAATTTATTTGAAACCACGCTGAAATACGCTAGCCGTGGCAAAGAATCCTAAGGCTGATGAATAACAAGACAGAAATAAATAATGAATTTTATTTACCCTATCACATTATTTTTCAGAACCAACGGACTTTATTTGACTCTTATTTTAACTAGGTAGATATCGTTAAATTTTCAAGAAATAAGTTTGTCTGTAAAGTATTACCTCGAAGTAATTTTACAGCTTCCTTCGATCTTTCGATCTGAAGCTGTGTCACTCATTTCGAATGTAAAAGATATTATCACCAAGTCATTCAGTCCATGACTGATTCCATGCTGGACTCAGTTAAATACACAAATTAACCATCAGTAAGTCTCCGGTGTTGTTTTTAACTGTTTAATCCTCTACTCTGATCTCAGTCAATCAACCAACTTTCAAATGTACTACTGCATTTCATCTAACTAGTGACAATAACTTTGTGAGCAATAGTGAAGTTTACTCTATACAATCGCTCTAAACCAGTATCGGAACGAACTGTAAGAAAATTTATGAACTCATATGATCGAATCAGTTGACGTAGAAGTTTGTCGTCATATGTAAACTTATTAATGTCCTGTTCTATCTCCGAGTTTTACTACATCTATTCAACACATTTGCAGGTATTGCATCTTGGTACAGACCTAGATCTGCCTCTTAGTCTGTACATGGTAATTAAGAAGGCAAATAGACAAACACCATTTTTCTAAGTGTATATAGCATGAAAAAGTGGAATTTCAGAAATGAGAATGCTCGAAATCATATAATAATCAAGAAATGGCATTTTCATCTTTCTTGATTATCATATTCCTTGTTCGATCCAACATCCTATCGTTAGGATTTAATGATGGCTTAGATTATTATATTATTTATTTATCCCTTGGGTTCCTAGTGGAACATAGGGCTTCACAAACATGTCTCTGTTCTATGCAATCTTTTGAACCTGGCACCACCACTGCCCACCAGCTTCCATTTCTTTCTCACACCATCTCATCAATATCACCCACGCCGCGGACGCCCAACTCGCCGTTAACCATCTGGGTTCCAGTCGACGACATAGCCTGGCGCGTGATGTCACCGAATAGTCTTCTCAGTGTATGCCCAATCCAGTCCATCTCCACTTCCTTCTAGTGCATATTTGTTGAGCGATAGCTTCTTGTTTGGTTCGTCGACAGCCAGCCAGAGTTCCTCCCTGCTTATTCTTATTATTCGGGCTATCTGAACTGATCTTCAGTAAAGAGCCAGCCTAGGGGGCAGTTGCCGATGAATGTGTGTAGTTTGTTGGAAATCCCTTTCATAACACTACAAGTCTCTCAAACATCACATGGAAGCACTGACTTGACTGGCATTAGTGTTGAAAATCAGGATGTTGTTCACGCCTTGTCCTGAGTGCAGTGCAGTAGATCTCCACACTCGTTTCAGGTTCATGAACCCCTTTCTTGCTCTCCTTCCAATCCTGACTGGCTTTGCCATCCTCATATGTGCCTGTGTCGCCTGTAGTTGAGACGATGTTGCGCAAATAGGTGAAAGAGACTACTTCATTTAAGTTTCTCCCATTCATCGTGATTGGAGTTTGTTGTTGTTCTTGGTGTTGGTGTTGGTTGGGTATCTTCATCATGACTGTCTTCCCTACATTCACTTGAATTCCCGTCTTCACTGCCTCACCTCACCTTGCCTCTTCTGTCAACTTGTTAGTTTTCACCTGGTGGTGGTGGTCAGCCCATTGTTTCCTTTGTTTCTTTTCTTAGGAAATATAAACTTCGCTTACCTCCTGTGACAGATAACTAAATTGAGGGGGGTAGGCACGGTCTGGTTACAGCGCTGATTAACATAAATATAAAGCCCAAAGAAGTATAACTACCCGTAGATCTCTGGTTCATAAAGTCTAGCAACCATAAGATCATGATCGTTATTGCGTACCGTCAACTGTCACCAGTCTTACGACATTAGACAAAAGGAATCCATATTTGTTCGTCAGCTGACTGATTATTTTCAAAATGTTATTGAAAAAGACTTGGTGCTTCAGAAGTCAGTAAAGTGTATGTGGGTGCATGATCCGTCCATTTTATCAATCAACCATATCATTACACTTACCTGATAAAGTGTAGACAAAAGTGTTTTTAACCCCTACACTGGCTAAGATAACATCATAAAACACCTGGATATTAATTGAAGTTTGCCTTGAAGCACTTGTTTAGGTTTCAAAACAAAACAGTTATCTAATTTGAGGACTAATGTGGATTGATTGACTTCAAAGAAGTATTCATTGCAGTCTGATATCAGTTGGAGAATCATTGAAAACCTACTACTACCTGTCACCTGTTTC